TCCTTCTCCTGCTTCTCACCCAACTTAAATCTGACCTCCTCAGGGAAGCTCCCCCAGCAGTCATCACTAGCTAAGCCCCTGTCTGTTTACTTTCTGTCACCGCCCTCTGAGTTTCTCTGTAGAGCACTTACCAAAAACATCTCATTGCATATTAATGTGTTTTGTCACTTTTTGTGTCTACTTGTTTATTTGTTAGAGCAGCATTATAACCTTGTGGCTAAGAGTGTGGAACCCAGAGCCTGACTGCTAAGGTTTGAGTCCCACCCTTGCCACTAACCAGCTGGGTGGCCTTGGGAAAATTACTCGCTCTCTGTCTTGATTCCTTCATGTGTAAAATGAACCCTCATTTGTAAAAAAAAAAAAAAAAAAAAAAAAAAAAAAAAAAAAAAAAAAAAAAAAAAAAAAAAAGACGGATTGTGGTGAATACTAAAGGAGAGAATACATATTAAGTTACATGCTTGGTAAATGGTAGATGGCATTATTTCATCCTTTTGTCTCTATATTTAGAAGAGAGAGAAGAAAAAGGGGTGGTGTCCATCTCAGCCCGTAGACCTGAGGAAAAGGGGCACTCTAGAGCTGCTGAATGAGGAAATGCCCCAGGCCCCCTTGTTCTGCCGGCAGCTGAGGTCAGGAAGGGTCACAACCCACCCTGGGCCTGAGACAAATGGCCAGCAGGGCCCCTATGGAGCTGCCAAAGTAGGAACCCAGTGAGCCAGACTGTCACTGACTGACTCATGGCATGGAAAGATGGGCGGGGTTTGTATTCATGGTGCTAGGACAGAATTAGGATACCCATGATACTTGCCACCTCTGCCACCACAAGCATGGGCATTGCTTAACTAACATAATAGCAAGAGATGGGGTTCATTGTGTGGGGGCTTTGGGCTTCTGTCCTTGGTGCTGAAATATCCTGCTTTTTTTCCTTTTATACAGGGTTTCTCCTTAGTTTTGCGTGTGTCCTGCATGTACCTATACCAAATGGCAGGAGAGATAGAAATTTAATCTTTCTAGCTTGATAAAGGAAAAAGGTTGGCATCTTGGTGAGCATTTCTGGAGCACTTACTGTGTGCTGAGCACTTTGCTAAGCCCTCTCCGTATATCGTCTCATTTAAACCTTCATACCCACTCTGTAAGGCAGCTATTGTTATGATCACCATTTTCCACATGAGAAACTGAGCCATCTCATGTTCGGGTCGCCCAAGGTTATTGCAAATGCAATTCTTGAATCAAACAGTCTGGCTCCAATGCCCAAAGCTTGGCCCCCGCATTATCATGTGGCTGTCATGAGTGAGCCCATTCACATAGCTGGCTGACTTCAGACATTGTGGCTTTCATGCTTCGTCCCATGTCTTTATTTTTTAACTAAAATGCTTAGGTTGTACTTATGCTAAAGGAGTAATCTGAGTTCAGTGACAGATCACTGGGCAGGAAACGCGGAGAAGGGGAGTTTTTCCCCCGAGGTTATGTGACTTTGGATGACTTTGGCTCATCCATCCCTCTGAGTCTCCGTGAGTCTGCGTCTGTGTGTTTAATCTGTAGAATTAGTTATATGAGCTGATTGCTGAGATCCCCTTGTGCTCAAACATGCTGTAAAATCCGAGGGGCAGAGTTCTTCCTTTGAGAACTCATTATAGGACAAGACGGTTCTGGAGTAATTTCCTACTCCATGACGATGCTGAGATTGCAGCAGGGGAATTGACTGAATTGAGGGGCTTCTTCACTGCCTGCCTTTTCTCAGAGATCATTTCCAAAGGCTATAGGTGCTTTCTTAACTGAATTCTCCTCCTCGGGGCGAGAATCCGGGCCCCTCCTCAGCTCCCATTTGGTTTCTTGATGCTCAGCCAAGTAGACTGGGGACCTGTGACATCCCAGTAGAATCCTATTGAGCTTTGACTATAGTTTTCTGTATTTCCACCTATGGACACAGTTGCCCCAGGAAACCAAGTCAATGGGAAGTGAAACTGTAGGGAGGAGAGCGTCATTAGTTACCTTCAGTGACTTGGGCCCCTTGCTACAAATCAACCTGTCTTCCTTGAGAACCAGGCTTCCTGGTGAGCCTGCATCTATGAAAAAACACATCCAGGAGTTTGCTGACTTAACCTTGATTTTCAACCTTGACCTTTCCAAGGAATGGTGAATGCACAGGGCAGGAAAAACAGCAAGTCACTTCCTAAGCAGCTGATTTCTTTCACCTGCTAGATACCCAGGCCCTGGGTCTCTGCCACCTTCTCCCAGCCCAGACCCAGGTCCCAGTAGCGCCTCTCAACCCAGGAACTTAGAAAATCCTGAGACCTTGGGAGCGGTTGTCTCTATTTTTACTCATAATTAACCAAAGCTTGTGTTTGCAGCTTATCAGTTTTGGAATGCAGTAAATACAGCAACCAATCTCCCAACCCCATGAATATTTCATTTTGGAGATTACTGCATAAATATTGTATTTGGATATTATGGTCTGGGACATCACATTAAAATTGCAAGGCGATGCTATTATCCCATATAATGGAACATAAAATTAAAACGCTGGTTCGTGGAAAGAAAAATTTTGCAAGTCCTCGCACCTGGATACCTTTTATTTCTCTCTCTGGGTTAGTCCTGGTTACCATGTAAGTTTTGATATAAATTATCTAAAATTTTAAAGTGTTAAGCACAGTTAAATGCACCGACTGTATGGTATTGTACAAGTTAGCATCAACCAGAGTCGAGATAGGATTTTATTTTCCTAAACTCAGGGCTCCTTTTAATGAACTGGTTAAATCCAAGTTTGGTGTGATATGATGAGTATAATGAAAAACCCCCGTCAGGTCACATCCCCCCAAAGAGATTCCTAACCTTTCGTTTACGTGAGGCCAAACTTGGATTTAGTGTGTGGAAAGATGTGTTAGAGAAAGAACTAGACCAGCGATGTTGGCTACCTGGGTCTTCTGGTGTGTCCTCAGAACAGTGGCAACTTTCCCTGGGCTCCCATGTAATGTGGCCTCCCTCCCACTTCTTTCTGTGTTCCCTCCACTGTCAGACAGCCTCTGTACTCATGGTGATAAGAAGCTGCCAGCCAGCTGTAGGCTTGCATTCTCTCAGCTAAGAATCCCATCGAAGGTTCTTCCATTCTGGTAAATTCAGCAAAAATCCAGGACCCAATCTCAACACCAGCTTGAATCTCTCACCCATTTCTGAACCAATATGGCAGCCAAGCAGATGGAATTGACCAGGCTGGGTCATGTTCAACCCCTGGTGTTAGGGTTTAGGTGCAAACCCAAGTTGAAGATTAGTGACTGTCCAAAGTAAAGTCGAGATGTAATTCCCAGGAAACTGAGGAACGGATGCTGGATTGACAGAAACAAGGAAGGAAGCACCAGCATGTGCTATAGTATGAATGAACTTTGAAAACATTATGGTAAGTGGAAGAAGCCAAACAAAAACACCAACAGCCCTGGCAGGTGTGGCTCGGTTGGTTGAGCATCCTCCCATGCACCTAAAGGTCACCGGTTTGATTCCCTGTTGGAGCACATGCCCAAGTTGTGGGTTTGGTCCCCGGTTGGAGTGCATGCAGGAGGCAACCAATTGATGTTTCTCTCTCTCTCCCTCTCCCTTCCTCTCTCTCTAAGATCAGTGAAAACATATTTTTTAAAAGGCCAACATATTATAGAATTCCTTCTATATGAAATACCCAAAATTGGTAATTCATAGAGACAGAAAATAGTTCAGTGGTTTCCAAGGGCTAAGGGATACGGGGCATGGGGTCTGCTTATGGGCATGGGGTCTCCTTTGGAGTGATGAAATATTTTGAAACTAGATAGAGGTGATGGTGGCACAGCATTGTGAATGAACTTCAAGCCATTGAACTGTACAGGTTAAAATGGGTGACTTTATGTTGTAGACCTGGGGGAGCAGCAGGATCCCTGAGCAGGGAGGCTACTAGACTAAGCTCCCAACTCAGTAACCAGCCCCTGAGGAGCAGGGATCATCCTTACTCCTCCTTGCCCGGCACAGGGCCAGCAGCATGCCTGGCACATAGTAAGTGTGCAGTTAATGCTCTCTGTCAGCGCACAGAGTTTGGGCCAGAGGCTGGGTTCTTGCTCTTTCCAGTGTCCCCTCACAACTGTATTACCAGCTCTTCGACCGTTGCTTTCTGCTTTTACAGAACAGGAAGTGCCAGAGCTGCCAGCCTGCCTTGCAAAATCCCAAATATTTATGCATTTTATTCTCTCAAGCAGGGGTTGTCCATCTGAGGTTCATAGATGGGGTTCCGAGGGCCCATGATGTTGAATGTCCTTTATTTTCACTGAAATCTACCTAAATGTAGAGTCCAAACCACAATAGTATGAGCAGTAACTATTAAGAGTCACGTATTTTCATATCACATATTAGTTGATGAGTCTGCGCCTGTCATTTACGCTCGCCACTTCCTTGCCTTTACAGTGGTCTTTAGACCTGCCACACGGTCTTGCTATTTTATGTGCCAAGAGAGAAACGCACCCTGGGTAATTATCATAAATTCAGTGTTTTAAGAAATATTTAGTAATCCTGTTTTTAATGTGTGAGTCAAAAAGCAGAATTACTATATCATAAACTTCTTTTTTCAGTACTTTGTCATTCTGTGTGTTATGATTGAAGAACATTATTCTGAGATGAGTGTCTATAGGCTGTGTTCACTAAGTTACCCAGGCGTCCATGGCAATGAAGGATGGTTTCAGAGTTCTCTAAAGAGGAAGTCGAGATGCTGGGTGATCATTGCTATCTAGTTGTGCTCCGCAAGTGCCCTGAACTCTCTAAGCTTCAGTGTCACCATCTGTGAAATGGGCATAATAATAGTACCCACCTCAGAGGGGTGGCGTGACCTGTCTCTCTGTGGAAACCAAGGGACAGCGTATGCACAGAGCCCTGGCTCAGTGCCTGGCTCACGGTCAGTGCTCCATAAATGCTTTGATCGCTGGGATTGCGCCATCTCCTTTGGACTCTGGGTGGAGGCACCTTTGGGCTAATCAGTTCTTTGTGTCTTTCAGGTTCATCCGGAAACAGGGCCTGGACCGGCTCTTCCTGGAGTGTGACGCCCACATGTGGCGCCTGGGGGACCGGCGGATCCCAGAGGGCATCGCCGTGGACGGAGGCTCTGATTGGTTCCTGCTGAACCGCAAGTTTGTGGAGTATGTGACCTTCTCCACAGACGATCTGGTGACTAAAATGAAGCAGTTCTACTCCTACACCCTGCTTCCTGCCGAGGTGAGCATCCCAGAAAAAAAATCCCCTAGGATGGCCGGGGCTGGCACTCGCATTTAGAGCAAAGCAGATGCTCAATTTTTACTGAATTTTTGGCAAAGCAATGCTGAGTCCAATACAGAGCCCTCCAAACAACCAGATGAGGACGGAGAGCGGCATTGACTGCCAGGGACCTAGTTGCAATGGCAGGGACCCTGGTCCCCTCCCATCTTTGGAGGCAGCACAGCGCTGCCACCAGCAGTCCACGGCATCCTCATGCAAAGTGGAAAAGGCATCCCTTTAAGACACGTGACTTACATGGGTGCTAAAATAATCATATACTGATTTTATTAGAAGAAGACACTGCCATTTTCTAGAAAACTGTTACTTAAAAAATGGCAAGCCTCTGGGTGTTGACCTGCTGTGTGGACGGCAGCCCCTCACACCCGAGTGGAGCCATGTGGGATCCGCACATCTGTGCAGGCCCTTTCGGGACACACCCACATCAGCTCCGCAGTCACCAGGCCTGTCACAGCTTTATCAACCAAGAATCCCGCTTCTGGTTTTGAATACTGTGGTTCTTTCAGTTCCTGACAGACAGACACTAGTGTTGGCCTCATCAGTCAGACAAGAAATGGCAGTGGTCCCAAAGACAGCAGGCGGGGCCTGTGCCAGATGCATCAGCCTCTGCACCGACAGCCCTCGTGGCCAAGTGCCTGGGACTCGGCGCTTCCCGTGGCTTTCGGAAATATTTGAAAAGCTCTGAGGAGTCTGTCCCCACGTGTCAGACCTCAAGGTGGGAAGCAGACTTCAGGCTGCAAAATACGATAGGGCAGGTGGCTTACAAACAACAGAAATGTACCTCTCACAGGTCTGGAGGCAAGACAGCCCAGCTCAGAGTGCCAGCATGACCGGGGGAGGGCCCTTTTCCTGGTGACAGGATGTCTCCGGACAGTTCTCACTGTGTTCTCACAGGACCGAAGGGAATACGGATCTTTCTGGGCTCCTTTTTATAAGGGCACTAATCCCCACTCATCTCCTGATCAGCTTCCAAAGGCCCCAGCTTGTAACATCACATTGGGGGTTAAGATATCCACCTTTGGATGTTGGGGCAACACAGACATCCAGCCCGTGTTAGTCTTCCCTGTTGTGGAAGACTGCAGGCTGTTCTGAAACAGCCCTGGCCCCATCTGGAGTGTGGCTCGTAGCGTGCCATTATAGCCTCTTCATCAGACCTGGGCTGAGAGAGTCCAGGTTAAGCTCCCTGACCTCCAGCTCCTAGTTTCCTACCTCAGAAAAGTCCAGAGCTGGTTCTGTTTCCGCTGAGCCCATGACCCCTCCCACGAGTGACCCACCATTCCTTCCGGCCTGTGCCCCCTCTCTGCACCACTGTGTTTCTAGTCCAGTCAAGACAGGGCATCTCCTCTGATAGTTTCCATGTTTCTCACCAACATCTGGGGCGATGACAACATCTAGGGCCGACTGTCCGCTTCACTCCAGAGAGATGATGGGCTTCTTGTCACGGGGCCAGGTTTTGCTATTCTGCACACATGTTAAGTAATCAGCTTTTAATCCCATTTCAGCAAAACATCACCTTTTCTCTCAATTCCGATAACCTCCTCATCCATTATCTTGAAGAGACTTTTGGTATCATTATGAAAGGACACAGGGCAGCTGGTAATTGGGTACTTTCCCCCACCACTTGATGGAGAATATGGGCCTCTGTGGGCTTGGAGACAACTCAAGCTTGAAACCCAGGTTCGCGGACATGTCACTTAGCATCACAGGAAGGTCAACCGGGGGCAGAGGGGGAGGGGAGCCTCATTGTGCCCACCCACCCTTTGAGAAAAGACTGTTTGAGGCTTTGGTTCTTTTCATCAAGATGCTGATCCTGGCACTGGCTCTCTGTCCCATCCCTGTCCCAGTACACACCAGCACGTGATACTCCAGGCCCCTGTTAGACCCCCTCCTCCATTCCAGCATCTCCGCCTTGCCCTCCCTTCTCCCAGACCACTTCCAGGGAACTGGTTCGGAAGAAATCTGAAAGCTGTGCCATAAATTTATAACAGGCAACTACATATTCCCCAACAGCTTCCCCTAGTGAGCAGAGAGCAGAGGAAATGTATCTGCCTGGTATCTGGGTTGTGTTAAAGCAGTGTCCAAATAAAAGCCTCTCTCTCTCTCTATCTCTATCTCTCTCTATCTCTATCTCTATTTCTATCTGTCTACATCTCTAACCATATCTCTCCTCTCCAGTCTCTCTCTTCACTCTCAACATTGCCTCTTTCTCAGGTTCCTAGGAGAGGTGGGCCAAGAGTCAGGATTAGGGGAAAGCAATGGTGCCTGTTTCAGCACCATGGACAGCAGGCGACCCCCACCCTTCACCTCCCTTGTGTTTGTAGTCACCTACTCCAGCAGCTTAAGTCAGGAGGGCGCCCTGGGGCCTGATGCACCCATGAATCTGACCTCCCTTACCCAGGGGTGAAATTCCAGAGTGCTGGTCTTTCTTCTTAAGATATTTCAGAGCTGAGTCCCTTCGTTCTCAGTCCTGGCTATTTGCAAAGCAAGAGCCAAAGGGCCCCAGGTTTTCTGAATAATCATCCCCTTGTTTTCCTCTGGTCCCCATGTGTTGACATACCCTAAGGAGCTTCTCCTCTCTGCTGAGCAGACAGAAGATGTCCTGGTTGATAAGAGATACCTTGAAATTGGGTTTTAGACTTCTGGGGAAAGGTCATTAGAGGAACACTCAGGACCTTAGACTGCTGAGCAGAATTCAGCCCCTCTGGGCAAAACATCCAGTGCCCCCTGAGGAGGGCCAGACTGGCACCCCATTTACAGAAAGAACAGAAGAGTCTCTACGAGAGCCCCTTCGCAGGCAGGTGGTCCCACGAGGGACCCCACCCAGCCCATCGGAGGGAGGCGGGAAGCGGTCTCAGGCTGGCCCCTCTCTCCCCTGCAGTCCTTCTTCCACACGGTGCTGGAGAACAGCCCCCACTGCGACACCATGGTGGACAACAACCTGCGCATCACCAACTGGAACCGCAAGCTGGGCTGCAAGTGCCAGTACAAGCACATCGTGGACTGGTGCGGCTGCTCCCCCAATGACTTCAAGCCCCAGGACTTCCACCGCTTCCAGGTGAGCCCGCCGGGCCCTGCAGCCCCCACACCAGCCTCCCAGCATCCTCTGCAGCAACCAGGGCCAGGCCTGTTGATCATCTCACCCCCCAGTTTTCAACCCTGCCCGTTGATAATAATAATGGCAATGTCAACAGTAGCCAACATTTTTTTAAATGACTCTCTAGACCAAGACAATGCTAACCACTTTGCCTGTCGTGATTCATCAACCCCACAGCGACTTATTAGATAGATAGATGATAGATAATTAAAATTATTATTATTATTCCATTTTATAAATAGGTAAATTGAGGCATATAAAGATCAAAAACCTTATCCAAGTTCAACCCCACGTATCTATTGATATTTCCAAAGGCCATATTTGTATCCATTTCCTTATATTGCCTTTTAACCAGAATCCTCTGAAAACATTTGTTCAAAACATATTCCTGGGTGCAAACTTGAGCCTGTCTGGGGCAGAGCTCGTCAGCCTCGGCACTGTGAACACTGTGGTGGGTAATCCCGTGCTGTGGGCTGTCCTGTGCAGGCCGTTGAGCAGCATCCCTGGCCCTACCCACTGGCTGCAGGTAGCACACTGCAGTGTGACAACCAGAAATGTCTTTGGGCATGGCCACCGTGCCCTGAGGGCAAACCACCAATCTCCAGTGAGGTCCAGGAATTTCTAATAGATTACACCTTGGGGACAGTGTGATGGGCAGGCTTGGAAACCAGCACAATCTGTGAACTGAAAGGAGTAACAGGAGGTAGGAGCATTATTGTCCTCCCAGGTGTCTCTGCCTGGCCTCGTTCACAGTGATGGGGGAGAGCAGAGGCAGAGGGCGGTAAATGCTCCATCTGCTTCCCTTGAGCCCCCAGACCCACCCCGAATGGCACCCTGTTTCCACCCTGTGTGAGCACCCTCCGGGTCACCATGCTCAACCCAGCTGCAGAGGGCACAAACAGGAAGCTACCAAATGGTTAAACACGTCACTCTGAGGTCACTGGAGCTGTCACGTGGAGATGGTATGCTGCTGCCCAAACCATTCACCCAGAGGGAGAATGGGGACAGCAGTAACTGAGGTGCCCCCGCTGACTCACTGGCTCCTAACTGAGCCTCTGCCCGCATGGGGCATCAGTCTCTCAGCCTGGCTCGTCTGTGTGGTCCTGGACCCGCAGCACCAGCGTCGCCAGGGAGAGGGTTAGCAACGCATTGCATAGTGTGTGGCTGCAGAATCCGCTGAACTGGTGCATGGGTGGTTCAGTGGTAGAATTCTCGCCTGCCACGCAGAATCCGCTGAGTCAGAGTCTGCACGTGAACGAGATCCCCAGGCGGCTGGGAGGCTCTCCACGTTTGGGCACAGGAGTTGGGATCTGCTCTCTCCCAGGCTGTGTGCCAGGCCCCCCGTGGGCATTTCATTGGCTTCCCTGGGGTAGACATCATCTCCATTGTGCAGGTGGGGAAACTGAGGCACCAGTGGGCGAACTTGTTCACAGACACACACAATGGAGCGGTAGGGCTGAAGGTCCCACCCAGGTGTTCCCAGGCCCAGCCCCGGGCTTGTGCACCAGCCCCCGCTGCCTTCCCGGCTTTGTGTCTGCCCAGGTGCAGAATACACAGCAGGTTTCATCCCTCAAGGTTCTTATTCCCTCAAGGTCCCCACCTAATGTCTTTCTCCTCAGCAAGCGGTTGCTGCAATAGTATTTTTCCAGCCTTTTTTCTTTTTTTTTTCTTTTCTTTTTTTTTTGTAGCAGATTGAGAGCTACCCGGGGACCTTCCCAAGCCCATGTTAATTTGGGCATAAACTTGGGTGACATTTTCACTCCATTGTCCATGTAGAAAGGATCTGCTGAGCAGAAAGAGGACTGCAGGGGGAATATTTGACCTATTCAAAAGGGGGGAAAAAAGAATTCCTACTTTTTAGAGGAGTCGTCGTCCTCACGCAAAGGACCTCACCATGTAGATAAAGTCCGTGGTGGTTCCTGGGAGCGCGCCCTCCCCGGCTGCTTGTTCGCGGGCAGCAACATCTGTACTCCAGGCCCAGCGTCCCATGGACCGCGGTCTCTGATAAAGACCGACGAACACAGAGACAGTGAGTGCCCTGTGCTCACAGCTCTTTCTTCCTCAGTAAATAGTAAATAGAGGTCAAGAGTATCCCCCAACATCTAGAATCCAGAAACTGTTGCCTGTAAGGAACTCGGCGTTCTTCTTCAAAGAGCTCTGAGGAAGAGGACGATAAATATAGAAACATGCCCTTTTAGGAAATCCAGCTCTGATCAAAGAATCATGGATGAGGAAAGAAGGCTGCCCTCCCACTGAATTTGATTTTCTTCCTCCAGAAAATCAAGACTTAGAAGCCCCTGGTAGCAGGCTCAGGCCGGGGGAATGGGAGGGGAGTGATAATAGTCACATAATAATTGCAGCTAACACTCTGTGCCAGACGCTGTGCTAAGTACCCTCGGGGTACCCATGTTCAGGGTGAGGAAGCTGAGGTCCTGGGTGACTTGCCCAGAGGCATATACCGGTAGAAAGTAGCACAGTGAGGATTCGAACGGAACTGGCCACAGAGGCAGGACGTCCTAAGGGTCCATGAAGCAGAGGAATGAGGGGATGTTCAGAATCATGCGGAAGGTTTTTGTGATCAGGAGCTTCCAGTTTCCTCAGTTCGCAGCTGGATCCTAGGAGGCGCCATAGAAAGAGCTTAGGTTCAAGGAGCATCCAATTCGAGTCCAAATCTTAACGACTGTGTGTGTGTGTTTGTCCATATCACTTCCCCTCCCTGAGCTCCGTTTCCCCATCAGTAAAATGGGCATTGGAATACCCACTTCGCAGAGTTGTTGGGAGGACTTGAGGTGACGCCATAACTCCAGTGCTTGGTAATTATTGCCATGATTGTTGCTGCTTATTCACAGCAGCAAAAACAGTGCCCGACCCAAACTTAGCTCAATAATAACACTAGACCAGTAGTCAGCGAACTGAGGCTCGCAAGCCACATGCGGCTCTTTGGCCCCTTGAGTTTGGCTCTTCCACAAAATACCATGGCCCGGGCGAGTCTATTTTGAAGAAGTGGCGTTAGAAGAAGTTTAAGTTTAAAAAATTTGGCTCTCAAAAGAAATTTCAGTCATTATACTGTTGATACCGTGTTTCCCCGAAAATAAGACATTCTCCGAAAATAAGACCTAGCGCATGGAAAGATAAGACATCCCCTGAAAATAAGACCTAGCACAGCTTTGGGAGAAAAAAATTAATATAAGACACTGTCTTATTTTCGGGGAAACAGGGTAGTTGGCTCTGTTGACTAGTGAGTTTGCCAACCACTGCCCTACACCATAAGCACCTCAAGGGAGTAGCTATGTTTGAATTGTTTCCTTAGCCCTGGTCAGGAGTCAGCAAACTAATCTGGGTCAGATCCAGCCCCCTGCCTGCTTTTGTAAGTTCTTTTGTGACACCGCCACACCCATTCACCTGCTAGTGTGCCCATGGCTACTTTCACCCTGCAACAGCAGCGTTGGATCCTTACAAAGCTAGAAATAGTTATTATCTGGCCCTTTACTAAAAAAAAACTGCATTTGTTGATCCCCGCCCAGACGATAGCATAAGACTTGATAGATAGCAGGCATTCAGTAGTTTATTTGCTTAATCCTGGACCCTGGATTTTAATCCTGACTCTGTCATTACCTTGTTTTGTGACCTTAGATAAGTCCCTTTTCCTTTCTGGGCCCCAGTCTCCTTGAACATTTGGGCTACATAAGTGGTCTTCAGATTCTGCATCGTAACCACCAGGGGAGCATTTTGGGATACAGGTTCCTAAACCTCATCTCTGGAGACGCTGACTCTGCTGTTGTGCCCAGGAGACGCAGGCAGTGGTGGGGACGGCGGCGGTGAGCTGAAGAAACCATGGCCGCCTAAAGGGACAGCTGCCTGCCAGCTTTAAGCAGTTGTTCCCACGCAGAAACATGGGCCTGGGTTGCTGGATCTATTTCTGTTTAAAGGGAAACCAGGAATCGTTCCTGGGAAGTCTTCCACTTTTTAAATATTGCCGGCTAATTCAATTTTAAAACACTCTGCTGGACAATTAAAATATATCCGTAGGCAGTATTTGCCCTAGACCTTCAGTTAAATGGTTCTGGAGACCCATCCCAGCTGTAAACACCAGGGTGTGATTTATTTAACCAGCATTTAACAAACATGATGCTTCCCAGGCGCCTGTCGTTGCTCCCAATGCCTCACCAGCATTAACCCATTCCATCCTGACACCCTTAGTATGTATTGCCTTCGTGTAACAGAGGAGGACACAGAACAGAGCAGGCAGGCTGGCTGCAGAGCCCTGCTCCCACCCATAACCCCACCAAACACACACACACACACACACACACACACACACCACCCACCTGCTGACGCTAATCTTTTTATCCCTTGAGCACAGCAGACAGCCCGGCCCACCTTCTTTGCCCGCAAGTTTGAGGCGGTGGTGAATCAGGAGATCATCGGGCAGCTGGACTATTACCTGTACGGGAACTACCCCGCGGGCACCCCCGGGCTCCGCTCCTACTGGGAGAACGTCTACGACGAGCCCGACGGCATCCACAGCCTCAGTGACGTGGCGCTGACCTTGTACCACTCCTTCGCCCGCCTGGGCCTCCGCAGGGCCGAGACGTCGCTGCACACCGATGGGGAGAACAGCTGCAGGTGAGCCAGGCTGGCCAGGGAGGAGCGGCAGGGTGGAGGAGGAGCAGGGAGGGGACCAGGGAGGAGGTGCAGGCCTTCCTCTGTGGTAGGGGCCGCGTGCTTCTCCCTCTCTTCCTTTGCCTAGAAAGCACTATGCTACCATCCCCGCATTTAGAGCATGTCCCGTCTACCCTCCACCCCCGTCTAAGCCAGCATCAGGATTTTATTTTTTCAGAGCACCAGATCTCATGCTTACCCCAATCATTTCCTTTATGTTAACCATATGTATTTTAAAAGGAAGCTCTATGTCATCCTGTTATATAGTTATATTTGTCTTAAATGGAAGGTAACCATGGAAATACAGAACTTTTTTTTTTCCTTTTTATTATGGAAAATAATAAAATAGAGAAGAGAGTGTAACCCCTTGCTCCCACCACCCAGCTCTCCTGGTGACCAGCTCCAGGCGACCAGCTCCAGGCCAATCCCGTGCCCCGGCCCCTCCTCCCAGGTCGGTCTGATGAAGGCACATCCCTGACATCACGTCACCTCAGCCATAAATATCTTAATGTTTGTCTCCGAAAAAGAAGAGTCCATTTTAAAACATAACCATGTCATCGTTACCACACCCTACACATATGACCAAAGACATCGGCAAAATGCAGAACTGCTATTTAAAGCCCTCCGCTCTGGTAGCCCCTTAGAATCATCCCTTTCGGTGTCGCTTAGAAATCACCCCACCTGCCACGAGCAGGTGCAGGTTGACACTTGAGGAAAGAGTGTTCCAGAATGTATGGAAATAGAGGGGAATGTAGGAAAAGAATCCAGCAGAACCCCCTCCCCTCCGCGGTCTTTCCCTGAGCCAAGCAGCCCTTTTGTTGGCGCGGCTTCCTTTCTCCAGCAATGTGCACTGCAGATATCCCCGTACTTGTATTTGCAACAGGAGCGTGGAGCCCTGTCATATTCCTGATCGGCATTATAATATTAGCCCCCTCTCCCGCTCTCTGCGGCTTCCTTCATGCTGATGATCCTCTTTAATGCCGCTCCTGCTCCGAAGAGCAGAAACTCAGGAGTTTGCTTAATCCAGCCCTTTCCTGTTGCTATTGTCAGTAATGGGCCATTGTAAATAACGTCCTGATGATTCGCTTCTTTGCAGAAAGCCTCTTTCTTCCCTTGTTGTTTTTTTTTTGTTTTTTTTTCCTCCTGGTTATTTTTTTAGGTTGGATTTTCAAAAGTGCCTCTAATCACTCTCCTCTTTCTTGTTCTCCCTTCTCCTTCTCCCACCTCCATCTTTTAAAGCAAAAAAAAAAAGTTTAACATCAGTCTCTCTCCACTGAGGCTCCTTCTGTGTACCCTTCCTTGCCTAGCTCTTCCCTCTTCTCTGGAACTATTGCCTCAATCCTGAACACCCCGGAAGGAGTCCTGGCTGGGACTGCCTACGTGGCCAGCTGGGTTTCTGCAGGGCCGCCACAGTTTGTTCTTATCTCCTTATGGCCTCAGCCTCTATCCTCTTCCTGTGGGTTCTGACTTAGTTTAAGGAAAACCCAGTGTGGGTTGGAAACTGGGACCTGCAGATCGAACTCAGCTTTCATTTACTACCTGTTGACCTTGGACAAAGTGATTAACCTCTCTGACCCTCCGTTTCCTCACCTGTAAAATGGGAATAATAAGAAGCCTTACAGCATAAGGTGTTGTGAGGTTTAAAGGAGGTAATCCTCAAAAGTGACCTCTGACTTACGTATTATTATTATTATCCCCGTTTTTAACCATGTCTTACTTACAAAGTGCTTAGTAAATGTGCATGCCATTATTATTAAGCTGCCAACGTCAGCAGGGAGCCTACTGTGTGAGCCACGCACTCCGTAACCAGCTACATGAACCGCTCGTTGCTCCCTCTGTGCTTTCCTTTGCCTATTGCCCCCACTGTCCCCACACAGCCAGCCCTCTCCCAGTCTCAGGGTACCATCTCAGGCGCCACGTCCCCTGAGAAGCTTGCTGAGAGCTCCCCTTGATCGCCCATCCCCTCCCTCTCCCAAGCTGAGAGTAGCTCAGACTCACTTCCCACCCCTCCCCACCCTCCATTGCATGTAGCAGCATTTACTTTGGGTCAAGGTCAACGGGGAAGGTCATCTGTCCCTGCTAGTCTGGGCACAGTCCCCTTGCTCACAGAACCTCAGTGTGCATCCCCAGCACAGAACCCAACACCACTCTTGGAAGCGGAATGTTATTCAAGAATAGTCTTCATCCCAGGCTTCTTAGAATTTATAAAATAAATAATCTTAATAGGAGATTCTAGAAGACAGCCCCAAACAAATCCTAGGACTTGTTTGGGGATTAAGCGGGCCATCTGGGTGCCCCTGGCCTGGAATCCTTTGACTTCTCTCTTTTTTTTTTTTTTTTTTTAATCATACTACAACCACTGTCCTTGCTGTGGGCAAAGCCCACTATATTTATGAATATGAGCCTGAAAATAAATCAGGACAAAGGACCCTTATCCCAAAAGGCAGCAGAGAGTAAATTCCTTCCCCCAGGGTATCTGGGGAAACAGCAAAGCGAGAACTTCATTTCAAGAGTCTCATTCTCTTTGGGCACTTCATGCAAATTGTGTCTTTCCAGTCCGTGAGATAACCTTTCATAAAAATAATGTTTATTGATTTTTTTCATTATAAAATAACTCAGGCTTGTTGCAGAAATTTTCAAAATGGCAGATTGAGAGCACAAGAAAATAAAGTTTGCTTGTGAGTCACCCTCCAGAGAGAAAGATGTCGGTATTTTATTACAAGTCCTCAAATTCTAATGCCCTGCTGGACCTGACTGGTAGCATGTGGCAGCCGGTGCTGGCTGGCCCCTGCAGCACGGGCTCGCCGTGCCAGCCGAGACGGCCGGGGGCCCTGGTACTGAGCCCCAGCACTTTTCCCCACGGGCATGTAGACATTGAACAGCCAGCCATTTTTCAAGACAAATCAGAAATTTAGATTTTTGTGCGTCTCTTAATTTTGTCAATGCCCACCCACTTATTTATCAGTAAGAAAAAACAAACAAACACTTTTGGGTGAGATGAATGCATCTACCTGTGGCATTCTTTAGGTTCTGTTGTACTGCATCTATTGAACACAAACTCCCGTCTTAATTTTAATTATCATATACAGTCAAGACAAATACGGGGAGGTTTTGTGTTCAGTCCTGGGTTACATGTATCCTAGATGTACCTTAGAAGCAAAGGGTTCAAGAGAAAATCCTTCTAGAATTTTCTCTCAATCAACAAGTATTGTTTGAAGCATCTACCATGTGTCAGGCCCTGTGTTAGGCACTGGACACCCAGCCATGACCCAGACAGACCAGCCCTCCCATTTCAGTGTGAATACAAACTGTGTCTAAGCACTGGTTCACAAGAACAAAGGATCAGTAGGAATAAATGCTCTGCTCAGAATAAAGGTAAGGTCACATGATGGCAGTGAGTTGGTGACTAAGATTCAGCAGTCAAGGAAGATCTCTCTGAAGTAGTGACATTTAAGCAAGATGATAAGACAGAGCCAGCCAAGCAATCTAAGAGGAAAAGGGCAGTCCCAGTGCAGAGAGTAACCCGTGCAAAGGCCCTGAGATGGAAATGAGCTTGCTGTGTTCAAGAATCCAAAAGAATGTCTGTGTAGAATCTAAAACAAGGTCCATGTGGCTAGAAGGTGGAGGTTTGGGGCGGAGAGAAACAAAATGAGGCTGGAGAAAGAGGCAGGGCTTTGTGGTCCAGGCGAGGAGTTTTGGTTTCGTTGTAAGCCGAGCCATGTGTGGTGTTTAAGCAGAGACGGTGGGGATGGCTGTTATGAGGGCAAAGTGGACGGAAGCAGGAGGGAGAGAAGGAAGCTCCTGCGAAGGTCCAGGGGAGGCACGATGGTGGCCTGGATCAGGAAGCTGGCAGTAGCAGGTGGATTCAGGTGGAGACAGCAGGGTTTCTTAATAGAAGGGAAGGAATGCAGGCAGGCAGGCAAACTTAGTTTCTAGAGTGCTTGCCCATTGCTCATTTACTTGGCCCCATCTGGTCCTCTCCCTTCTGGAAACTTTTTTTCCCCTTCACTTCCATGCCAACAAGCTCTCCTGTTCTTCTCCCACCACCACTGACCCAACCACCTTCCAGCACAAACATTGACACTATATTATTTAGCTCCTGCCATAATGCCACATAACAAACAAGCCCCAAATCAGTGCTTTGAAATGATAAGCAATGACATTGAGCTCAAGTTCTCGGGTCAGCTGGGCAGGGTTCCTGGTCTCAGCTGGCATCTCTCCTAAATCTGCAGCCGCTGCAGGTCAGGAACAGGGCGCTGTTGTTCTTGCTGGGAGCTGCTGGCAGGGACAACTGGGGTGGCTCTGTGTGCCCCAAATGTCTCTTTCCTCCAGCAGGTAGCCCAGGCACGCTCCCAGTGCCCTAGGGGTCAATCTTTGCTAGCTTGCTTTCAAGAAATCCTGCTGTCTTTCACCTGAACCCATCCTCCACCTCAGTCACCTCTGCACTGCCAGCTTCCCGGTCCAGGCCACCATCGTGCCTGCCCTGGGCCTCCGCAGGAGCGCCCTTACTTGTCTGCCTCCTACTTTTGTCCATAACCTAACAGCCATATCCAGCGCCCCTGCTTGAATACCACAAGTGACTCTACTTAATGCTTATGATTGGAATCCTCTCTGCACTGCAAAGGTATGCTCTCATCACAAAAGAGCAAGAGAGGAAATGTGCAAGGCTTCTTGGGGTCCTGGCTGGGAGCTGGCATGACGCCTTCTGGTCAAGGCAGGTCAGGAATGGGGAAATGGACTCTGCCTCTTCAGGGAAAGGAAGCCTGCCAAGCCACGTGGGAAGGAACGTGGAGACAGAGAGGTGAAGGGTCAGAGGCACTGATGCCAGCAGCCACAAGACGCTGTCATGACTATCTATGCCTCCAGTATAGTTGCCACTGGCCACCAGTGGGTATTTAAGTTAATGAAAGTGAAATGAAATTTAAAAAAAAAAAAAGTCCTTTCTTCCGCCACAGCAGCCACACTCAGTGCTCGGTGGCCGCAGTGGGTAGTGGCTGCTGAGGCAGAGATAGCACCGCTGCAACCCGCCTCCCTCCAGCACAGGGCGAGTCCCTCCGCAGCACCGTCCAGGGCGAGGCTTTTCTGCTCCCAAAGCCCAGGCCCAGCGCAGACCTGTGTGAGCCGATGCCCAGCGAGCAGTGTGAAGAGGGTGCTGGCTTCTCTCTCAGAGCCCCCGGGGCATCCCAGACACCAGGCAGGGATTTCCAGAGATGGGGGAGCACAAGAAGCGGCTATCCTAACCATTGTAATGGGACATAAAGACTGAAGCTCCAGAGCAGGACCAGAGGGAAGGAGGCTAAGCAGAAGCAGTGATTTGTAGAACACTGTTAAGGGGCCACAAGCACCTTCTGAGGCCAGCAGCCTTTTATTCCTCAAGAAGGAAAGAAAGCTGGCCGCATCCCAAGTTCCTCCCACCTGAGCTCCCTCCTGGGCATCTCTGCTGAGTTCCCCAGGCCCTTTCTCCCAGTGATTGTTTGTGGGTCAAAGTCAAGTGTCCTAAAACAGTTACCTTTTCGTGTCTGAATTTTATTTTTAAGAATAATGTCCAGTGCCTTGACTGAGGACAGTGAGAGTGTAAATCAATACAACCTTTTTGATAAAGTTGGACAGCAGGCATGAAGGGCCCTTTGGAAAATAGAGGAAGATGGGGAGAGAGAGCGCGCGCGTGAGGAGGTTCCATTTTTACTCAAGGATGTTTAATACAGTATTGTCTACAATGGCCAAAAAATTAGAAACCAGTTAAACAGCCAATGATGGGGAACTTGCCCTGTACAATATGGTATTACATACAGTAGAATAATATGTGTGTGTGTGTTACGTTTTCAGAGACTCTTCAAAAATGTGATAATGCCTGCAAAATACTCTGAAGCAAAAGCAGGATATAACCAGTGTGTATATTATGATCTAGTATGAGATTTATGCAAATATATGCATAGGAAATAAGGCCGAAGGGAAATGAGTCAATATGACATTGTTTGCACACCATTGGTGCTTCCCAACACCTAGCACCAGAGAGTCAATAAATATCTGTGCATTGGCACCGTCTGTGTAAAGAAACCTCCAAAGTGTAGCAATGTTTATTTTCTTTATTGTGCTTTCATACAATCAACATGCTTTACAATTTGTAATCATCCCAAAAGCTAGTAATAGTTATTGAGATCATAGATTCACAGGGAGCAGCGTCAGGAATACAGTAAGCATTGTATAAAACGGAGGTTATTTTAGGAATAAGGCCAGCATGATGGGGGGGCACCCCATTATGAGCCTACACATCTCCAGCCCTGACCCATGAGCTCATGTGAGACTGTGTGTTTCTTTCAGGTACTATCCCATGGGCCACCCAGCATCTGTCCACCTCTACTTCCTTGCTGACCGCTTCCAGGGCTTTCTGATCAAGCATCATGCTACCAATCTGGCCATGAGCAAACTCGAGACGCTGGAGACATGGGTGATGCCAAAGAAGGTCTTCAAGATTGCAAGCCCACCCAGCGACTTTGGGCGGCTCCAGTTTTCCGAGGTAAGAGACTAAGTGTTGTTGTACTTCACTGCCTTTTGCGTCCCCCTGGCTGGGCCCTGTTCCATGGTCTGACACCTGTAGTTGGAGATGGAGGACAAGGGGACTTGGAGAGCCCCAAGATAAGCTCAACCTGTGCCTGTAGAGGGTTCTTCAGTCCCGAACACTGGAACTGGCATCTTAAACAGGTCGGGAGGAGAAGGACAGTGGACCAAACCAACTTGGGCCCTTGGTCTATTTTTCATAGAACTTCTATCTCTTTTCATTTTTTTTATCCTTGCTAGTGATTCCTCCTAGACTTGTGTTAGTAGTGGATCAATAACAAACCAGTTTCCTGATGAAGTAGGGGCATCTATCCTGTTTTACATATGGGAAAATTGAAGCCTATGGGGATTCAGTGATTTTCCAGATCCGAGTTAGGAAGTAGGAGAGCTCACACTTGAACCCAGGTCTCTTAGGCTGCAAGTCCCGTGCTTAATTGTGCTTTTGTCTCCCCGGATGTTAGCACAGGATTTAGCTTAAAATAAGTATCAGATCAATTACTAAATGGATGAGTTGATGGATGGATGGATGGATGGATGGATGGATGGATGGATGGGTGGGTGGGTGGACAGACGGACAAAGGGGTGGATGGATGGATAGATAGATGGATGGAGGAAGGGAGGAAAGGATGGATGGATGGATGGATGGATGGATGGACGGACGGACGGACGGACGGATAAATGTGTCAGTGTTTGGACAGATGGACTGAACCTATGGAATGCAGTTTCCACCTCTCCAGTACAGCATCAGCTTTCAGTTATTTTCCTGCCTGGGGAGATGGATTTATCCAGCACCACCCTTAAGACCTCAGCCCCACCTCCAGACCTGAATTGCCCTCTTTCTACTTCTCCAGCCTCATCCAGGACCACTTTCCTCACACTTGTGTCTTTGTCAAGCATGCCACGTTTGTTCCCGCCTCAGGTGTGGCATGCTTGATCCTCCTGCCTCAAACGCTCTCTCACAGGTTTTCACCTATTTTGGAGGTCATTCTAAATCCAAACAATGCACCTTCCGAGATGCCTTCTCTGCCCCCTCACTTAGGCCATAATATCGATAGCTACCCTCTCTGCCTGACACATCTTTATTTTAGTTCTTTTCTTAGCATTTACCATCTAGCATCATCTTGTTGGTTTTGCTAATCACTTGATGATTGTCCGCAATAGAGCGAAGACAATAAATATCCCTCTCACTCACTGCATAAACCAGCACATAGAAGAGTATGTAGTGTTTGCAGATGCGGAATAAGGTGGAGAGATTAGCCGAATAACATACATGCCTAGTCCTTGGACACAGACAACAGTGTAGTGAAGGCCAGGGAAGGTGGATGGAGGCGGGTGGAGGTGGGCAAATAGGGGGAGATGGGAGACATCCGTGCTAGTGTCAGCAACAATGACTTCTGAATGAATGAGCGCCTGCACTTGGCTGGAGACCTGGAAGGAAGGGGAAGCCTGGTCAAGTATCGCACCCACTTATGTTCCCTTGCTAGTCTTTTTCCAGTCCCCAGTGGCCCACCTGGCCAACCTGTGCCCTGCCGAGGGGCACTAACCAGGCACAGACGAGAGTTTCTTGTGAAGCCACGGTTTTCAATTAAGGCTCCAAACAGATTGGCTGGATCTGAGCTGCGACGGGAGCCCACGCCATAAATTACTGGCACCAGGGGGCAATTAGATGCTGCCCCCATTGGAATCTGTGCGGGGAGGGGGGGGGGGGGCAGGCGGCCAATTGAAGACATTAATGTCCCATTAAGGAGATGGATGCCTGGTGGCTGGGCTCTCCCTGTTTATTAGCCTGTCATTGGGGGGCCGGGCACTCTGGCAGTGACAAAAGACGCTGGCCACTCGTGGCTGGTGATTTGTGAGGGATCCTGCATTAGATAGCTCTGGTACCCTTGGTGTGAGAGCCACCGAGACCTCTGGCAGAGTACCAGCGTGTGAGCAGGGAACCTCGGATCTTGTATTTCGATTTTTTAAAACCTTAATTTTTTTTAAGGCAAATGTGAAATTGGACAAGAAGGAGGAATAGAACTCCACATTGAGTCGTTCTTTCCAATCGGGCTGTGCGTAGGGCCTGGCCTAGGGCAGGTGGTGAGCTCGGATAGAGTTCTCCAACCCGTGGATGCCCCAGGGCAGTGGCTTAGACAGTCACGGAGTGCCCAAGATACACAAGGTGCAGAAGGAACAATGTCAACCAGATAGAGCGGACCCTTGTAGTCATGGGAGCCAATGAGTGAGCAAACAAATGAACAAGAACACTTCCATTAATAACAAGCATCATACAAAGAAGGTCAAATTCCCTCCATGTGATTGCTGAGGAGGACTACTTTCCATGGGGTGATTCTTTGAGCAAGGCTTTTCTAAGAATAATTTCAGAGCTGAAAACTGTACCCTGGGACCTTCTCAGAGAAGAGCATGTGCAAGGCAAAGGCCCTGGGGCTCCAGGCAGGAGCTTGGGTTCCGGGAGCAGCAAGGCCAGTGCGACCAGAGCACAGTGAGCGGGAGGGAGAGTGATAGGAGGGAGGCCTCTGAGGGGACAGAAGTTTGGGTTGTATTTTAAGGGCTGTGAGAAACCTTTGATGGGTTTGAAGCTGGGAGGCATTGTTAAGCCTGAACTTGGGGTCCAGCTCAGAATGTGTTAGGGAGGCCAGAGCTGTATCTTCCTGGGAAAGCCGTGTGAACCCCTGCAGGTGACGGGCGATGCTGAGGGACCCTTCTTTTCTAGTTGATGACAGGGCAGCTCCAAAACCTGAGCTCTAGTCTCACTCAGAACAATCATTCTCGACAGAGGCGCATGACCTGGAAAACCAAGGAGCAAAGCAGAATCCTGCACCTGTTGAATGGCAGGGTGTGTGTTTTCTTGGAATGGCCTCAAGCAGGGACTTATTCACTCATTGATTCAGTGCACATTTTTTCCAAAGCACCCAGCAGGCGCCAGGCACTGGAGGCCCTGAGGTTTAGTCAACGGGCCAGAGGCCTTGTAGTCCTCCAACCTGGATCCAAATACCAGGTCTTCCGCTTGCTTTCTGTCTGACCACGAGCAAGTAACTTAATCAGTACCTTAGTGTCCCCATGTCCTTCTCTGTAAAATGGGTATATCCTGCCCCACAAGCAGGATCCAAGCCTTTCTGGGACCCATCACCATAGCTCAGTCTCAGTGATTTCAGGACTCGCTCTCCTGTTCCAGGTTGGCACTGACTGGGATGCCAAGGAGCGGCTCTTCCGCAACTTCGGGGGCCTCCTGGGGCCCATGGACGAGCCGGTGGGCATGCAGAAGTGGGGCAAGGGCCCCAACGTGACCGTGACCGTCGTCTGGGTGGATCCCGTCAACGTCATCGCAGCCACCTACGACATCCTGATCGAGTCCACGGCCGAGTTTACCCACTACAAGCCCCCTCTGAACTTGCCCCTGCGGCCGGGGGTCTGGACCGTGAGAATTCTCCACCACTGGGTGCCGGTCGCAGAGACCAGATTCCTCGTCGCACCTCTGACCTTCTCCAACAGGCAGCCCATCAAAACGGGTGAGTACTCCCTGTGTGTCTGCTGGGAGTGCAGGGTCGGGGGGGGGGGGGGGGGGGGGGGACGGACGCGGGCGGGTAATATGCCATCCCCTGGGATCTTGGGGGTCCATCGCCTGGGCAGTGGTCCTGCCCAGATGTGGGGGGATGGGTCCACTCTCGAGGACCACGCTCTCTGCTCTCAGTGGCTGTTTTTCTGCCTGCACACGGAGATGACGTCACCCGTCTGTGACTCGGGTAACTTTTGATTAAATGCTCTCCCGCCGGGCTCCCAGAAGGTTCTGATCATATTTAAGACAGGATGGAAAATAAACCCAGGCAGATACTGAGTTTTAGCAAATCTTGTTCCCTGTGTGAAAAATATTAATTAAAACAGGAAGTCCTGCTCATCAAAAAGATGATACACCAGGTCAGCGGTTTTTCAACCGGTGAGCCACAGGAACTTTTAAAGCATGCTGCACCTGACTGTTTAGTCGGGGGCACTGACCTCTTTTCTCTTGCAGTGGTTCTCCACCTTCCTAATGCCACGGCCCTTTAATATAGTTCCTCACGTTGTGGTGACCCCCATCCACAAAATTATTATTTTAAAAAAATATATTTTATTGATTTTTTTACAGAGAGGAAGAAAGAGGGAGAGTTTGAAACATCGATGAGAGAGAATCATCAATCAGCTGCCTCTTGCACACCTCCTACTGGGGATGTGCCCGCAACCCAGGTACATGCCCTTGACCAGAATTGAACTCGGGACCTTTCAGTCCACAGGCTGATGCTCTATCCACTGAGCCAAACCGGTTTTCGCAACACAAAATTATTTTCGTTGCTACGTCGTAACTGTAATTTTGCTACTATTATGAATCGTAATGTAAATATCTGTGTTTTCCCATGGTCTTAGGCTCTACAGCAGCGTTTCTCAACCTGTGGGTCGCCTAAGACCATCGGAAAACACAGATATTTATATTATGATTCATAACAGTAGCAAAATTACAGTAATGAAGTAGCAACGAAAATGATTTTACGGTTTGGGGGGGTCACCACAGCATGAGGAACTGTATTAAAGGGTCGCAGCATTAGAAAGGTTGAGAACCACTGCCTTAGATTGTCAAGCAGTAGCTGCCTGGTGTTGTCTCCATCTAACTAACAGATCTCAGCCTCTGGTAGCTAAGCATCTGAGCTGGGTGCCATTCAGCCGGTGACACAAGAAGAAGGCACATAGATATGGGGAGGGGAGGGAAGGGGCAGAGTCCTATAAAAAGGGAGTGTGGAAGGGATTCTGTCGACTTTGCTACGTTTCTGTGCTGAGCAAGCAGAAAGGGAGGGCCCTCAGGTTTTCTCAAGATGGAAGTCTGCTTTTCCTCCCCGCGGAAACAGACAAAAGCTCCCCAGGACTGTCTGGGCCAGCGCACAACCCTGAGGACCCCCAGGGTGTCCCGGATCAGGTTCACGTCCTTGGCATCCCGCGGGGTCTCCATAGCCAGGAGTGGAGGGGTGGGATGGGAAGGGCAGTCCAGACCTCTGTGGCGGGGGCACCCGCTGGACAGAATAAGAGCGCGGTCCTGTCTCCATCCCACCTCAGCAAGCAGCCTGGGCCCTTTCCCGGGGCCTGAGTTTCCCAATGTTTTTCTCCTGGAGACTCTTCCCATGCCTAGCATGAACCAGGGGGTCCCTGTACCCCCGCACTGGGAGCCCCGCCCCATTGTCATCGTTGGTATCTGTTAACGATGTTCCAACGACGGGGAACATGAAGGAGGGAGCCATGCAATTTGTAAAATGATTCATCAAGAGCAATTTGCTATTGATGCATCCCCAGTAATCTCAGGAAATCTGAGGAGGTGGCATTGAGGAAAATTTAATTACAGAGGTGAGCCCTGGAGGCTGATGCTGTCAGAGCACATCCCAGTAACCTCCCTTTTCATAAGGGTTTTCTGCAGCCACCGCAATGTTTGGTGTTAGATGGGGCTGCTCTCCTCACTCTTCGTGCCAGCGTGTTGTGGGTTTGGCGTCTCCCGGCTCCCCACCTGCAGGCTGGAGGCATGGAGAGGTGTGAGTAGAAATTAGACCCTCACCAGCGAGAGCAGCCTCTGTTCTCCTGGTGAAGGACACAAGAGCTGCCTGCCCTCTGCCAGCATCAAGGAGCGGAGGGCCAGGGCCGATAGACACACCCGGGCTTACCTATCGGGAAAGGGAGAAGTGCCGCTAAGTCACAGAGGACAGGGTACATGCTCACGCCTGCCGGTCTCTTCTCTCCCACTTGTTCCTAAACTGTGGAGCCTGGCCCGTCAGCTTCCTGAAGCATTAGGGATGGAAGGAATGACTTTTTTGTCTGTGTTAGCCAAGGCATACTTTTAATTCAACTGGACAGCAGACATAGATAGGGTGCGCCCCCAAAATATATACACACACTCGGAATAATCATAAAGGCAGTGTTTACTAAAATGCATTCATTTTAAAAACTGAGCTCTCAGCTGTGAAAGTGTGTATGCATTTTGCGGGGCGCCCTGTACATGGTCTTTCTTCCTCCTCTTTCCCCCTGAAGACCATACTTGTTAGAAAACAACCTGCCGACAATGAGGGTGTCCTGGTTGCCGCGAAGGGTGACGGGCACTGTTCTGCTTGCTGAACATCGGTTAGAGTTAGAAACATCGATGAGAGAGAATCATCGAATAGCTGCCTCTTGCACACCCCCCCACTAGGGATGTGCCCACAACCAAGGTATGTGCCCTTGACCAGAATCGAACCTGGGACCTTTTCAGTCCGCAGGCCAACGCTCTATCCACTGAGCCAAACCAGTTTCAGCAAGGGTTAAGTTTTGAGCACCACTTAGTCTTACAGGGAAGTTCCTTCTCATCTTTTCTTCTAATTTTCATCAGGATCATTAGTCGGTATTTACAATATATATATATATATATATATATATATATATATATATATATATATGAACAATATATTCATATTCTTGTGTTTGACAACAAACAATGAGTGGAAGCTCCTTCAAAATAGAAACAACTCACGTCTTTCCTTCAGCCCAAATCGCTGCCCTTTCTGCTTCCCCATCACTAAGTGCCTCTGGTTTATACATCACGTTACCATTGACAAAGTGCGTGCATTTCCATCAGAGCCTCTTGCCAGCCCAGCGGATCCAATTAGTACAAGGATGAGAGCCCCCATTTTACAGGCGGGGAAAGCAGGTCTTTGAAAGACTGGCTCTGAGATGGAAAAACAAAACTAGTGCTTTAGCTTTCTGCTGGTGAGTGAGCCCTTCAGTAGATTATCATGAAGACAAACACCAGCTTTGGAGTCAGCCAGTCTTAAATTTAACCCCAGATCTGTCTCTAGCAGAGCTGCCTCTGTTTTCCCATCTATAAAATGGATAGAATAATACCAGCCCAACAGCTGTACATGTATGTGTTGTATACTAATACCACCAACAGTGAACAATAGTCATTCAAGCTGAACCTTCCCAAGCACTTTGTATATTCTGATGGCCGCTGTAAGCATTTTGTGTGAGTCCATGCATTTCATCATCATGAAGCTGTGAGGAAGGAATTAGTACTCCACCCATTCTACTGATGAGCAAACTGAGACACTGGGCTTTGAAGTCAGAAGTCACACCCTGGTATGTGGGACGTGGGGATTCAGACCCAGACAGCCTAAACTGTACTCGCTGTGCTCTGCCCAAGGGAATGAATGAACTTTGCTCCGAAGTGGGCTCAGAGCGGTCTCGGGCTCCGTTTCTTCATCTGTGCAGTGGGACTGAGGAAACAGGTCCTCCTGAGCCTGTCCTGCGAATTAAGTGGTGCCACTCCGGTGCCCAGCGTGGTGCCGGGCCCACAGCAGGCGCCAGGTTCCTGGCTCTTCTAATGACATGATGGTTCCCTCTGCTTTCAGAGGAGGCGCTGAAGCTGCACAACGGGCCCCCCCGCGGCGCCTACATGGAGCAGAGCTTCCAGAGCCTGAACCCGGTCCTCAGCCTGCCCGTGAGCCCGGCGCAGGTGGAGCAGGCGCGGAGGAACGCGGCCTCCGCCGGCGCCGCGCTGGAGCGCTGGCTGGACACGCTGGTGGGCGGCATGTGGACCGCCATGGACGTCTGCGCCACGGGCCCCACCGCCTGCCCGGTCATGCAGACCTGCAGCCAGACGGCCTGGAGCTCCTTCAGCCCGGACCCCAAGTCGGAGCTGGGGGCCGTCAAGCCCGACGGCCGGCTCAGGTAGCACCGGACACACACGGGTGGGCCGCGGCGGATGTCAAAGGGAACACAGCCCGAGGGCCCCCCGCCCTGGGGGCGCCTTTTGCGGGAGGGGCTCTCCTGGCCATGGAAACATGCAGAAGGAAGGTTCTGAGGCCAAAGCAGGGTCTGCCGACTACGACGACCTGCACTTGGCGAGCTGGCTCCTGGGGGTGTGGTCTTACCTCTTCCGGCTGGTCCTCGAGTCCTACAGGGTCCTTGTCTTCCCCTCCAGCGACCAACCCCCGAGACGAGTGGTCCTCAGACTTTCCCTTTGAGCAGCAGAGCTCTGTTTACGAAGCGCAGCGGCGGGTGGCCTTCTAGGTGCAGGTGACACCCAGGTTGCTCTGGGCAGAGCCAGGAAGAGGGAGATTCTCCCTCCTCGCTCAGCCCGCCGGGCGGTCCCTTCGCCAAGGGCATCTCCTACGGTACCTCTCCAGAACCCAAGGGCTCTGCAAAAACCCATTTCGAAAAGCACTGCCCAGACGGTGGGTTTGATCGCCAGCCCCACCCTTCGGCTCCTCTTCCTGCCCCGAAATGACAGGTCCCTGAGATCATGCTCACGGGCTCTCCCCAGGGAGGCAGCAGGCCTCCCACCAGCCCTTCTTCGCCACCACATGAGCAGGGAAGCCTGTGGCGTGGCCAAGGTCCAGCAGGGTGTGACTGCCAAAGGTCCTGGATCCCGTGCCCCCTCCCTCGAGGGAAAATGGGATGATGACTATCACGTCTCCAGCCGTTCATGGGCCAGGAGACCAAGGCCAGGATCTTGCGGATCCCGGACAGCGGGAACACCGGGGCCCATGGCCATGAAACGCCTAGAGATGGTTTGGAGCAAAACTCCCGAGCTAGTCAGCGCAGCAATATCGGTCCCCGGCCTGAGCCCTTCCATTCTGAGGTCAGGCTCTCCCACCGCCCACACCTTTGGGAATTGCAGTCGGTGCTGTTGGGAGTGACCAAACCAGACTTTTCACGTCCAGGAAAAAAGCATTTCCGATTTGGTTCTTAAATTCATGCCCTTCTTTTATCCCAGGCGACATGCCGTGTAAAAGTGGGACCCCTGAGAGTCCGCTTGTTTAAAGCCTAAACGAGAGTAGTGTCCCAGCGGCCTGCGCTCCCAGGAGCCTGGAGGGTTTCCTTGCCATATGCCCCATGGAGCGTCCCCCGCTCCTCTGAGAGCCTCTCGCAGGAGACTCGCTTCTCCCTCTGGTCCCATCCCTGGCTGCAAACTGCCCTTCCCGGAGAGCCAGTTCCAGGCGCGTCTCCCAAGCAGGAATACGAAGGTACCGCCCTTTGCTCCCATGACCTTTCAACTGTTGCCCCCGGAACGACCCCATCCCCCACCCAGCCAGGCAGGATGTCCCATGGGCCATGGAGTCTACAGAGAAAGGACACTTTGGGTATTTATTATTTATGTTTTAGTCAATGACTAATTAGTAGGTGCTGTTTTTGCAGCTTGTCAATTATGTTCTCTTACTAACGGAAGCTGCCTTTGTTCACAAAAGGCGCCCCAGCCCTTCCCCTCCCTGTACTCCCCCAGTCACCAAGCTCCTAGTGTCTGTCTCTGTTTCTTGGCGTGTGTCTGCCCTCCGTTCTCCGAGTCCTCAGCAGGGGTGTTGGACAGCATCATGTCCTGGCTGAAAGGGGGAACCTGGGGAACATGGCGCCCCACCTTTCCTTACGCAGGGCGTGAGCTTCATCTAGCCCCCCCTCCCGTTCCTGGGGGTGTTGGAATTCCTGAGCCATCCCCACTCCCACCCCAGGCACAGGGCAGGCCCAGCACCTGAGGCGGGAGAGTGTGCCGACCACAGAGCTCAACAGTCCTGCTTCCTCCTCACTTACCTCCCTCAGCCGGTCTGGCCATGCACTTCCATGTAGCATGACAAGATGCACAGGGAAACCAGCTGCTCCAGGCCTGGGAGGAAAAGAGATCCTTGTCAGGAAGAGGGGAGGTGGTCGGATGGGGCCAGGTAGGTGGATGCTGTCAATAGTGGCCCTAGGGACCTCAGAGCGGCTTTCTCAGAAAACCCCTGTCATCGCTAAATGGACTTAAAGTGGTGGGAGGCCTGTGCCACATCCCCTCTCTGCCCTCAGCTTCTGGCCATGTCCCTGTGCCTGTCCGAGCTACCCAGGAAGCCTCCCTCCTCCCTCCTCACCAGGCCGAGGACAGGGTGTTTCCCGCGGTGCCACTGCAGTGGCTGCGGAGTGTGTGCCTGCAGGCTCCTGCGCAGACCTTCCTGCACTTGTTGATGAGGCTGCCTCCTCTTCCCACCCTGAAACAGGTGTGGCAGTGGCAGAGCTGGCTTATTCTGGGGACACCCACACCCCATCCCTGTCCTTGGCTTCCATCACCGCTCCCCGCAGTGCATTCTGGGACACAGAGAGATCATCTGGCTATTTCTTAATGTCTTTTGTTTCCGGACAGAGAACAACTTTGCAGATGTTACTTTAGGGAGAAAAGGGAGAGAGAGAATTCCAGACAAAGCCCAGGATGATTTGAGAAAAAGCGATCTTTTCCGGGGAAAATGGTTTAATTCGTTCTTTAATCTCCCTGAGCATGGTTTACTGGTCAGACAGCCTTCGGCAATGGTGCCCGAGGGCGTCAGTGAAAAGCAGGAGGCCGAGGTCTCCGGAGGCCCTGTGCAGGCTGCGCACGGGCTGCACCCCCTGGGCCCGGGACTGCAGGAAAGCTGGAAGGTGGGACAGGGTCAGCTTTGGGCAGGAGGAAGCAGTGAGTAGGCTGTGGCACTCGGCAGTTTCCCAGCCTGCCCCGGGACCGGCAGGCCCCCTTTCTCCCTCCTCACCAGGCCTCAAGGCCTCTGTTTCCCACAGTGTCATTTGAACCGCTGAGGTCCCTAGAACCACTCTCCCTCCTGGTGGCCTGGTGAGGAGAGAGAGAGAGTATAGGAGGTAGGCAGCCCTCCCAAGTCCCCCCACACAGGCCTTGCACTATGTCTGGAGAGGAGGGGAGAGGGGGGAGCAATTCCCAGGGCCCCCATGTTTAACAAATGCACCCGTTCCTTCCTGTGGAGCAAGGCCTTTCTGATCAGATCGGAGCCATCCTGACTTCATTTCCCGTTGTTGGCTGAACTTCTTAAAATGCAGGTGGCCTTGAGACAGGCTGAAAGGAAGGCCACACAAGCCCATGAAGGTGCAGAGCGCAGCTACTCTGGTCCCCGCTTCCTCCTGGTTCTCTAGTTTCCAGGTTCAAGAAAGTCACAGGCCAGAACCCGGGTCTCTTTTCTGAGAAGGTGCAGAATAGAGGGGAGCACTGGCTGCTGGGTGTGGTTGTGAGCAAAGACCCCTTTCCCAGCCGCCTTCCCTAGGAACTCAGGACACAAGCTCCCCAGCAGCATCCAAGGCGGAGACACTAGAAAAGCTGCTGGCAAAGGCCTGCCAGGCACCCCATGGTCAAGGCCATAAGTATCCAGAGGGGGTTTGCTGGCAGCACATGCCCCCCCCCCCCCCCCCAAAAAAAAAAAAAAAAAAAAAAAAGAGCAGCAGCTCCCCAGCTCCAGCCTGCTGGTACCTGTGAGCATGCAGGCGCAGCTCAGCAGAACCTTCCAGTTTGGTAAAGGAAGCCAGAAATCCAGACTTCAATAGGAAATCTGATTTTTAAATGTTGGCTTTTTTTTTTTTTTCTTTAACAGAGGATGGGCACAGAGAAATGCCACAGCTCAGCCTGTGGACCTCGCTCTGCAGAGGTGGGTGAAAAGGAGGTTAGGCGTGGCCCCGGTGAGGTGAGGAAAGCCAGTGTTAAGGGCAAAAATAGTAGCTCCTGTTGAATGCTGAAGGGAAAAGGAATCTCTTCCTAGTCATTCCCGTCCCACAGGTGTCCCCGGTCCCGGGAGAACCGGCTCATCCTGATCCCCACAGTTTGTGCTGGAGGGAAGGAGGGACACAATCTGGATACCCCAACGGTTGCCCCTGTACCCAAGGAGGTCCACACCTAGGCGGAGGGGTCAAGGATGGGGGCCAGAAAGAGGGGGTGGCGTGGGAAACGGCCCGGCTCACTCCAAACCCCAGGTTTTAGCAGCCAGCTTGCCACACATCTGGAAGCTTCCCAGGAAGCCCTGCTGGAGCTGAGCTCAGCCCCAGAATGTCCTCCCAGCCTCTGCCTCAGTTACCTTACTTTGCCCATGGGTCTACCACAGGCGCTACCTCACTGTGTCTGCTGAGAAGTTTACCTGCAGGGGGTGGGGAGGGAGGGAGAAGTGGAGATAAAGGTGGCCAAATCTGCTTGGGCTGAATGTACAATCTATGCAAATTCTCTCTCTCCCTCCCTCCCTCCAATTCTCTATTTTTCACCCTGCAAACAAAATACTGTATAGACCCCTCTTAAGACCAAGGAGGGCTTTCTTGCGCCACCCATGTCCGCCCCTAGCGTTGGCTTTGGTTCTGTCCTTGCCCGCCCCATGCAGGGAGCACGTGGCCCACCCTTCCGGTCCCCTCAGCTGGGCCTTCTCCAGCTGCCTCTGCCCACCACCGCCCCCCCCCCCCAATTCCTAATTAATCGTCTCCATTTCTCCCTTTCTCTGACTTGCCGTATCTTCCCCCCATCCCCATCCCCAAAAAGCCTTAGGTTCTCCTTTTTGAAATGTGGCCTTAAAATTATTTTTGGAAAGCTGACCGCCCTCTCCCTCCCGTTTCCACCCACATCCTAGAAGAAAGAGCCCCTTGAAGCTTTCTTGGAAACCTCCTAAGCAAGGGGCGGCCAATCTGGAGTCTGCAGACGCTTAGAAATTGCTAATAACTGTCGTCTTTAGGAAAAATGTGTTTCCCAGGGGCGAACTGAAGGCCTGGGTGCTCACCTGCAGCTCAGCCGGCTCCTGCAGCTCTCCCCCGCCCAGCGCCGCGGTGAGGGGGCGGCTTCCTTACCCTCGGAGAGCTAACCCCAGCTCTCCAGCCCTCCCCTTCCCAAAGACGCCCGACTTACCTCCTCAGTCAAGGGTGAACCTGGAGAGTTCCTCAAATTGATCTCTTTGTCCTTCCTGCCAGGAAAGAGAGAGCATTAAGGATTCCCAGCGGATGGGTCTTGTTCTCCAAGGGCAACACTCTCCCTAGGTCTAGAGCCCCTCCCATCGCTCCAGGGCTGATGGAGGCCAAAGACAACCCAGGGTTTTCATAGGAAATTCACTGGAATTGCGCGCAATCGTCTTTGTAGTCCTTCCTTTTTTTTTTTTTTTTTTTTTAATTCTTAATATTATTATGTTGTCAGTAGCATTGGGTATTTTTTTAGAGGCCTCACAATAAGTTATTGCCGTCCCCTTCATTTCTTTTCCCGGAGACATGTGGTGATATAGTTTTTAAAAAAATAACTATTTTGTTATAGATCATAATATGCATAAAACTGTACAGAAATATTTTGTAACGTATTGATTTTTTTAAAAAGAGAGAATCTGTAAATAGAGTTTTAAAAAAAGAGAGAGAGAATTCAAAAGGCACACACTGAAAGATGTAGATATTTTGCTATTTATTTAAAGGAGTATTTTAAGAGATATTGAGCTATCTGAAATTGACCAGTAATCAAAGTTCCAATCAACCCAAATGCTTTTTTCCTCGCGGTAGAATGTGATTCTCAGAAACGATTGCACTACCCGCCCATTTTTGCACCTTTTCTGTCTTTTCCTTTAGCAGAAAAACAACGAAATTGTGCCTTAGCTGTATTTTTTTGTCTAGGGGAGTTTGTTTCTGTCCGACAAAGCAAATTCTTTTGCAGAAAACAGTGGATGTAATAAATACTGTACCATACCAAAAACACTGCAGGTGTACATAGATGCTTTCTGTCATACCGTGTTTTCAGATGCAGAATTTTAAAATTAAAAAAAAAAATACTATCTTTATGGAACAGTGGCTGTGTGGCTTCTTTTTAGCAGTTTCGTGTACCTTCGTGTACCTTTGCACACCCTGGTATTCTCGTCCTCTGCGCTGTCCACCCCCAGAATTAGGGTGACTATATGAGCATCGAGGGAACACCGACTAAAAGGAATGATGAAACCATAGACATAAACTGGGTCTCTCTCGAGAAAAGCTAGATGTGAGGACACACTTCCTAATCAAGCCTGCTGTCACCTCTCAACACCTGGAAATGACTCTCCTGGTGGAGGCAGAAGTATATGCTTTTACCCTCTTGGTTAAGTAGAAGTTAGCGAAGAGGGACTGCCATCTAAGGTGGCAAACAGGTTTTTTTGTTTGTTTTCTAAATATATGTTTTATTGATTTTTTACAGAGAGGAAGGGAGAGCGATAGTTAGAAACATCGATGAGAGAGAAACATCGATCAGCTGCCTCCTGCACACCCCTTACTAGGGATGTGCCCACAACCAAGATACATGCCCTTGACCAGAATCGAACCTGGGTGGGGCCTTTGAGTCTGCAGGCTGACGCTCTATCCACTGAGCCAAACCAGTTAGGGCGCAAACCGGTTGTTTTGTTTTGTTTTTACCAGCTGGTTGGTTATGTAGCAAATCTGTTTTCCTTTTCTCTTTACCACACAGCTAGACTACATTTCCCAGACTTCCTTGTGCTTAGGTGTGGCTCTATGACCAACTTTGGCCAATAGAATGCAGGTGGAATAGGTGAATGCACTTTTAGACCTGGCCCATAAAATTTCCCAGGAAAACCACTTCTCAGCCTTTAGGCTAAGATCAAGTGAAGTGTCTATTCTTATCCATTTAAGATCCGATACATCCTCTATCTGAGGACAATGCAATAAATGGATTTTCAAAGCAGGGAGAAGGAATGGGAGCTTGTTCTGTCCACTCTGCACACGGACGCTGTATAGCAGTACTTCTAGGAACAGTGCACCGAAACAACAAAACCAAAAAAAAAAAAAAAAAAAAATTTCCCATGGAGCCGCCTCTCTTTCCCTGGGTACCAGCGCAAATATTTTGAATCATCTTGATTTGAGACATTGATTAGTTGATTGACTGCTCTCCTTGCAACCCCGACTTAAAGAGGGAGAGCCACAATGAGAGAGGAGCAGGCCCCTGGGTAGCAACATGGAAGGCCATCTGGCCTATCAACCCACTTGCCTGTGACATGAAAAGAAATAAGCCTGTACTGCGTATGCAACTGAAAATTTATGTCTTACAGCAGCAAGCCTTATATCTAATAATTCACCCATAAATGCAAACTCCGATGTTCCCGTGGGAAAGCCCACATTTTAGCCCCTTAATCCTATAGGTAAAAATTCAGAAACTCAGATGGGGAAGGTGATTCGCCTAAAGCCGTGGTCGGCAAACTGCGGCTTGCAAGCCACATGCGGCTCTTTGGCCCCTTGAGTGTGGCTCTTCCACAAAATACCACGGCCTGGGTGAGTCTGTTTTGAAGAAGTGGCATTAGAAGAAGTTGAAGTTTAACAAATTTGGCTCTCAAAAAAAAATTTCAATCGTTGTACTGTTGATATTGGGCTCTGTTGACAAATGAGTTTGCCGATCACTAAAGCCGCAGAGCTATTGGCATCACAGTCAGATCCAGAGCCAAGGTGTCCCATCCCCCAGAGACCTTCCTTAGGAGGACTGGTTCTGCATCCTCCCATTGCCCTCACAGCATGTTTACACGTGGCTCCTGAAGACTGTGACCAAGGATGGGGAGGACCAGGTGGCTGCGTTGCAGAGGTGCTTTAACCTTCAAACCCTTAAAGGCAAAGAGAAGCACTGAGACCCGGGTGGGGATTTACAGCTGGCACTAACGAGGGTAGTGGAGGTGAGTGACTACTATATTTGGAAAGACAGTGAATCCCAGATTCACCTGCCCAAACCTTTTTTCTAGTCTGGTCTTAGAGCTAGTCTGCTCAAAGGTGAGTCCTCAGAAAAAAAGGCTTTGGGAAAGGTTTACAGGTCCTCCTTGGGAGGAGGCTGCACAGAGCAGTAGCGGCTAGGTGCCCAGACTAGCCACGGTTGGGGGTCTGAACCCATGTGGCAACTCCATCCATATCCCACACGTATGTGCCCTAAGGACGCAATCCCTGGTTCGCATACCTAGTCAATAGCAGCAGCAGCAGCAGGAGCCCCAATGCGCCCACCACAGACAACACCCAGCTGTGCCCAAGGAAACAGCTGTGGGACCCTGTGCTATGGGCACAAGGAGCCTCTGCTTCCTCCACAGCCACTCTGTGGGCACAGTTTCAGCGTGGAGAGCATGTCACCTCCAAAGGTTTACAAGGTCCTCGAGAGGCGTCAGTGGCCAGGCACCACACTTTGCCACCATCCTGACTCACCATGGCATGGGCCCGAACCCATGTGCACCCTGCCCCGGTCCCTGTGGACCCACAGAGGTGACACCCAGACCCACACACCTGCAACAAACACTTGTGGGGCCTCTGTGCCCCTGGCACGAACCCAGCCTGAACCTGTGCGCCCGACAGGACCCAACCTGGACGCTGTGCCACCGCCCTGCGACCACCACTGGCCCAGCAGGGCCCTTGCCCCTGCCGTGTCAACACAGTCTGATCAACCACTGCCACCACTGCGGTGCTGCCACCTCCGCCCTAGAGCCCAGCTGCTCAGCTCCACCGCCAGGGCTCAGGGGCGGGAGCTGCGCTAAAGGCCGGGAGGTGGCTGCAGCCTTCCCTGACCTGGACCTACTGAACTGAGGACCTGAGGAGACTGAAGAGGCTGCAGATCTGTTAGGTGAGACGGGAGGGCCTGGGACCGAGAGAGGAGGCCTCGAGGGCACTGGCTGTGGAGACTGCGAGTGGGTGTGGGTGCCGCTATGGACGCCTGGGGCTGAAGTCCCTGGATAGAGTAGCCCTAGCACCCCGCCATCACGAAGCCTGGGGAGTTCCTCCTGACCAGTGGGAAGGGCCATACAATGGAGCTCACTTAGCAATGAATACACTTAACATGGAGGGGGGGCTTTTATTTCTTGGAGGAACTCCTATGGGTGAGCAGCAAGGGGGCTGGACAGTAGGTCCAGGGAGATCAGCCCTGCCCACCTGGAATGAAGGGGAAGTCCTCTCTTTCCCCTCCTCATCCTACCCACCCCCCCACCTCACCCCAACACACACACACACACACACACACAGAGCAAAACAGCTGCTTCTAACCAGACCTACAGCAACCTAAGGCAGTGGGGAACACCCTGAGGCAGGAAATCTCTGCCCCTGCAGGTGACAGAGGAGGTGCCAGAAAATGAGACAGAGCTGAGGCATTAGAAGGAGAGAAGTGGCCTGCCCCCATCCACACCCCTTCTACAAACCACTAACGCTATCCCCCACACAACCGCTAACCCCCACACAACCGGATCAAACCATCCTGGCCAAGACCAGGATGTCCCTGCAGAGCCCAGCTCCATGGGGGAAGGGAGCAGAGCTTAGAACAGGGACAAGCAAGGTGTGAGACCCCAGGCAGAACCAGCCTCTGGGCTAAGGAGTTGACACCTGCTGGACTACTAGGGGCTTCAACCTATCGACCTCAATCAGGTTGCCCAGGATCAGAAAGGGACAGCAGTTCACATTGACCTGCACCAGAGAAGCTTCCAGGAGAGCCAGGATAGACACACCAATGGACCAGATTCAACAACATCAGAGCAAAACCCCACGAGCTCCACAACAGCAGATCCAACGGATTTTCACTGTGTGAGTGTGAGCAGTTCTGTTTTCTGTCAGTGTGTGTATGTGTAATTTTTATGTATATTTGTCTCCCCTCCCCCCCATTTTTCTTTCTTTTTTTATGCATGTCTCCAATTTCTCTCTTCCCTTTGGTTCTATTCTACTTTTGTCTATTCTTATTGTTATAATTAATTTTCCTTATTTTATTGTGCTTTTCTCTTTTTTCTCATTTTACTTTTTCTATCTATATGTTACATCCATTATCACTATATTTTAAATTCACTATTATTATTTCACTTATTTTCTGTTTCCTTCTCTTTTTTCCTCTTATACTAGTTCTTATAGCTTCCTCCTTGCTTCCATAGAGCCATTTTTTGTCTTCTTCTTTCTCCCTTTGTCTTAAAATCCCCTGTCTTTGGCCACGTGTCTTTTAGTATTCTCTTTATTTTTCCTTTGCTTTGCATCCTCTTCTTTTTCCTTCTTAGTCTTTCCTGTTGTTATTGCACTAAGTAGCTTGATTTTCATGGCATTTTTGGTGCGTTCCTCTTGTGTCGTGTTCTGTTCTGTCAGCACCTATATAACAGCTGGCACAACATTGAGGTTGAACCTCATTGGCAGTAAGTCAGAGGGCAGATCTCTTCCCATGAACAGGACGTCAACAATCAAGTCCCAATTACAACAGGAGAGCCCAAGTAACACACACAAGGGGCATTCCTAGAGTATTCAGCTCCCGTGAATAAAGACTGCATCACTGGAACCCCTCAAGAAACTTTCTACATAAAGCCATTCCACAAAAACTGAGAGGCATAACAGTTCTATCTGTTATGGATTTTCCATTAGAATGTCAACTGACTTTTCAATTGAAAAACTTCAGGCCAGAAGCGAATGACATGAAGTAATCAAAGTAATGAAAAGCCTATCATCGAAATTCATCAAATGACAAGTGCTGGAGAGGATGCAGAGAAAAGGAACCCTCGTTCACTGCTGGTGGGAATGCAGACTGGTGCAGCCACTGTGGAGAACAGTATGGCATTTCCTCAAAAAATTAAAGGTGGAACTGCCATTTCACCCCGTAAGCAGCCCTATGTTCATAGCAGCACAATTTACAATAGCTAAGATTTGGAAACAGCCTAAATGACCATCAGCAGATGAGTAGATTAGAAAACTGTGGTACACAATGGAATAGTATGCTGCTGTAAAAAAAAAAAAAAAAAAAAAAAAAAAAAAAAGGAATTCTTACCATTTGCAACAGCATGGATGGAACTGGAGAGCATTATGCTAAGTAATCTCACTCATTTGTGGAATATAAAGAACATTATAAACTGATGAACAAAAGTAGATACAGAGGCAAAGAAGCACCAAACAGACTGTCAAACTACAGTGGGAAGGCAGACAAAGGTTGGGGGAAGGGGAGGTAAGAGACCAACCAAAGGACTTGCATGCATGTATGTAAGCAAAACCAATGGACGCCAGACACGGGGGGCAAAGGGGGTTTGATGATGAGGGTATGTGCCAAGGGGTAGGAGAGGCCGTGGGGAGGTCAAGGGGGAAAAAGGAGAGACATATGTACTACTATTTGTAATTCTTTAAACAAAAATAATAAAGTAATGAAATGCAAGGGCCTAAATCCAAGACTACTGTATCCAGCAAGGCTATCACTTAACATCAATGGTGAAATAAAAAGCTTTCCAGACAAAAAAAAAAAGGTTAAAGGAGTACATTACCATCAAACCAGGAATGCAAGAACTATTAACAGGACTGCTTTAAGAAGAAGAAGAAAAGGAGAGAAAGAAGATCATAAGCATAAATAAAATAACAATGGCAATAAAAAAATACCTATCAATAATAACCTTGAATGTAAATGGATTAAATGCTCCAGTAAAAATACATAGGTGACTGAATGGATAAGAAAACATAACCCATATATTTGCTGTCTACAAGAGACCCACCTCGGAACAAAAGATCACACAGACTGAGATTGAAGGGATGGAAAAATATATTCCATGCAAATGAAAAGGGAAAAAAAGCTGGCATAGTAATACTTACATCAGACAAAATAGATGTCAAAACAAAGGCCATAACAAGAGACAAAACCACTACACAATGCTAAAGAGAATGATTCGACAAGAAAATATAAACCTTGTAAACATATATGCACCCAAAATAGGAGCACGCAAGTTCATTAAAAAAACAAACAAACAAAAAAAAAACTCTCAATGGACTGTAAGGGAGAAATTAATAGCAATACTGTCATAGTAA